ATATATATATATATATATATATATGTATATATATATATATATATATATATATGTATACATGTATTATATATGTTATATATATTTGTATATTTATATATAAAATCGTATATAATTACATATAATCATTTTTTCCCGAATTATTGCAATCATTTTTGTGAATCAAAGATCACCAATATGATGTTTACATTCTATAAAAAATTACATTTATAGGAGTATATGAATTCAAAACAAATCGTCTGGCTTGTGAAAGCTTTCCTATCGTAAAGGGCTTTCCGGAGAAGGTCGAAACTCTGACTGAACAATGAAGACCGGTTACTAACAACTTCTTCGTCAGCTCGTACCGCGACGTACGCGGGAAATATTTACGACGCGGGGACGCGGGCTAAAGAGCTATATAGATTGCATTGAATTAGATAACTGTCTGATTTACTGTATCATTTGGCGAAGAATGTGGAGTCATTTTATGGATAGAGCAGGTTCGCGACGCCTACGGCTCGCAAGAAATCGCGATCTTCCAACGCAGCTGTTTTTTTATGTTTCACGCGTGTGTACGGAATTGTCGACGAAATATTCCGCTGTTTCGAAAGACACTCGCGCCCGTTACGCTTCGGTGGCCACAGAGGCTGAACAGTGAGAATAGATAGCACGATATATTTATACGATACGCGAATTCTCGTTCTCGAGCTGCGCCTTTTTCGCGAATCACGTAAGAGCAGCCTGTCCGAATCGGGAATTCTTCGGTGGCTGCGCGATTTGCACGACTCGAATTTCGACCCCGAAGTTGCACGACTTATTTACGAAGTTGGTGTTAAAGCTGGGCTTTATGCTTACGAAGAGGGAGGAGGAAAAGAGAGGCAAGTTCCACGTGGTGAGGAAGAGCGAGAAGAGCTTCTTGGTGCATCCAACGTTGCGAAGGAGCAGGACAATTATTCAGTAAATTCCCGAGTGCTCGCGCAAATCGCGCTCGCTCGTGTCTAACGGGCAGAGACGCGGGCTAAAAAGCTGTATAAATCGCCTTGAAGCAGTAGCGACAGGCGAACCATCGATCACGACGACGACTACGACGATGGCGACAGCGACGATGGCGACGACGTCGCGGTGTTACGAAGTGGAAAGAGAGAGAGAGAGAGAGAGAGAGAGAGAGAGAGAGAGAGAGAGAGAGAGAGTGATGCTTTCTCTCTGTGGAGTCTTATTAATTTCGATAAAGCGCGCTTGCATCCGACAAACAAACGGTGTGGCCAAGTTTTGCCTCTTTTTCATGGGATTTTGCAAATTTTGCATATTCCAACAAATGATGCATCGATTTGAAACTTAGGACAAGTAAATTATATATATTATTAAAGAAATATATAAATATATATGTACATATATATGTATATATATATGTATATATATATTTATTATATGTATATAATATATAAGAATCTAAAAAATCTTATATAATTTTTAATTTACTTTAATTTTAATATATGACAAAAACGATAAAAAATCTCAAACTTGATATTTCGAATGTTGATTAGCTTGTCAGACGCTGTCAGTAGTTAAATTAAATAAATCTTTTATATATATATTTTTTTTTTTTCGTATTATTTCTCTGATAATATGTAAAGTTCATGTCACGCGTTAGTACAGCTGTCTATTGAGATTGCAATCTTTTGGACTGTTTGGACTTCCAAATGGCTATAAGAATAATATTTCGAGACATTATATTCTTAATCTATACTCGACACAAGCTTTACAAGTCGGTGAATTGGAACAATTTTTAGAAAAATAGCGAAAAATATTTATAGGCGCATTTTTTAACCACGAATGAAGATTGATTTACTGTTTGCATACAAATCTCTATAACTCATGTGTTACTTCTAATTCATTATTCGAAACGAAATCCTCCGGACTCGGCGAGAGCGTCAAAAGCTCGCTCAAGGGCTGCGCGCAAAAAGACACTTCTTCCTCTCATTAATTAAACAGCCTCGGCGTCCACGACGGAAACGTCGAACGCTTTCTTTTGACGATCGACCCCCTGCGGACTCCGATCCGTGGAGATTCCGGATCCATTAAGCCGTCCGTCCGCGCTTTGTACCCCGCGATTACGAGCGCTACTCTTCTCCCCGTTATCGGCGTCATCGGCTTCGACGTCTTCGTCGTCGTCGTCGTCGGCGTCGGCGTCCTTCGGCTCAGTGAATAAAGTTTAAATACTGTCGCCGTCGGCGCTCTCAGTTGACCTTCCATAAATCAACGCGGCCGATACCGATCTGCGAGCGTTCTCATAGAGCGCGCGCAAGCGCGTCACTTCCGAGTGGTGCAGCGTTGCACTTATCGCGATGCAATGTATATGTGTGTGTGTGTGTGTGTGTGTGTGTGTGTGTGTGTGTGTGTGTGTGTGTGTGTGTGTGTGTGTGTGTGTGTGTGTGTG